ACAACAGAAGACTTCTTACCAATCACGAGATCATGCTGACGGCAATTCACAGTTTTTTTTGCCATTTCCTGGTTTGCAAACGTCAGGAAATCCCCCCCCCCCCTCCGCCAGTACACGTTACAAAAACCGGCGAATCAGGGTAATGGTTAAAATTGTTGGCTGCCATCATTTTTCATTTCTTTTATACATGCCGGTGTGAAAATCTGTATCTCGGGTTATGAAAACATCAACTGCTACAGCAAACCGACACATTTCATTACCAACATCAAAACCTTAATCGAAATTCAGTCAGCAAGCCAAAATTGTCCTTTGCATGATTTTGACTTTGGAGGATGACCTAGAATGATCGAGACTTTTGGACGGCTCTTGCTGAACGCTAGTTTTTATTGCGGTGAATATTCTGGTGCTTGCAAGATTGAAACCATCAAGTATTTATTGGTGATATGGAGTTCCCCGTGTTTTGGCCTGAACATGGTCCGCTTGCAAGCTGACCTTGCGAGGCCAGGACTTTTTAACGGATGCTGGTTCCTGGGGTTGTGAATATCCTGATGTTTCAAAATTTAATATCGCCCAGCAATTTTTTTGTGGTATGGAGTACCTCGTCAGAGAGAGAGAGAGAGAGAGAGAGAGAGAGAGAGAGAGAGAGAGAGAGAGAGAGAGAGAGAGAGAGAGAGAGAGAGAGAAGGAGAGAGAGAGAGAGAGAGAGAGAAGAGAGAGAGAGAGAGAGAGAGAGAGAGAGAGAGAGAGAGAGAGAGAGAGAGAGAGAGAGAGAGAGAGAGAGAGAGAGAAGAGAGAGAGAGAGAGAGGAGAGAAGAGAGAGAGAGATAGAGAGAGAGAGAGACAGAGAGAGAGAGAGAGAGAGAGAGAGAGAGAGAGAGAGAGCAGAGAGAGAGAGAGAGGAGAGAGAGAGAGAGAGAAGAGAGTGAGAAGAGAGAGAGAGAGAGAGAGAGAGAGAGAGAGAGAGAGAGAGAGAGAGAGAGAGAGGAAAGAGAGAGGAAGAGAGAAGATAGAGAGAGAGAGAGGAAGAGAGGAGAGAGAGAGAGAGAGAGAGAGAGAGAGGAAGAGAAGAAGAAGAGAGAGAGGAGAGAGAGAGAGAGAGAGAGAGAGAGAGAGAGGAGAGAGAAGAAAGAGAGAGAGAAAAGAGGGATATATATTATATATAATATATATATATATATATATATATATATATATATATATATATATATATATATATATATATATATATGTGTGTGTGTGTGTGTGTGTGTGTGCATGTGTATAGACATACGTACATATATATATATATATATATATATATATATATATATATATATATATATATATATATATATACTCTAAGATGCATTTCTTGTTAAAGATAGCCTGAACATAAGCAGACAAAATTGGCGAAGTGTCTCGCACTTGCCCTTTTTCGCGAAGTCAACGACTGGCCGCCCAGTCAGTGCCACCAGATATCATCTCATCTCGAATACCCTTAAATTTAAAAAGCATCTTGCGCTGTTCTGGGTCTACTTGACAATGCAAGGGAGTATAACAAATAAAGATGCATGTGTTCACATGCATCTTTCCACAGTCACAACATGATAGTGAAATGGCCCTGTGTCGGTTAGAGGTCACCGTAACGAACGAGGGACCCTACGTACCATTTTACACAATGGCCGATTATCCGAAATTGGGTTCCGTCGCCAATTATTGGATATCATGCGCCGGTGAGTGATCCTTTCGCGTCAGTGAGCGTCTTACATCGATCCTGTGCCAGATGCTCTAGTCAGAGGATTTGCCACTCATGGAGGGAACCGGTGTATGATGTATCCCTCTGAGGACCTAGATTGATTAGGGGATCCCAGTTCCTATATCGACAGAATAGCAGCCACTATAGCGCCAGCCCGGGGTACCTTTTCAAGGACCCGGGCTGGAACGGAAGGCTCCATCAGTTCTTGACTAGTAAACGAGACTTATGCTTTGTTACAGTTGATGTTCTGATTGAATTTCAGCCACAGCAACACAAAAAATCAAGGCCACACCATCGTATCACAAGCTTATGGCGCTGTGCGTGGTGATCCGTACGGAAGGCCAATAACAAAATGGCATGGGTGAAACAGACAGCCCGGACTTCACTCTTCACTTATAAAGTGACTTTATTAGGCATTAAAAAAGACTACTTTCCCACCTGTGGCAGTTTTCGCCCGCTCGTTGACCGCCGCAAGGGCCAGCGCCCCGCGGCCCACAAGGACTGCAACGTCGGGGACAGGTGTTATTTCGTGTAACAATCACAACCTTCAAGGTCGCAACGTCATCTGTCCATGTCCTCCAAAATCGCAACATCCAGCTTTCATAACATCTCAAATGCGTCCAATTCCGTGACTTCGTTTCTATGCCGTTGCCCAAGAACAGGTAACCAGGAGTGCCCCTCCCTCAATCCCAGCGACGCAATAAACCGTACGTTAACACCAGAAAACATAAAATCAAGTCGCGGCACTCCCAGCTAGGAAGATGAAACAAACGTAAAGAAGCAGGCGAAGAGGTGGTGCAGACCCGACGGAATTGTGTCATGTAATAGGCAGCGAAAAATCATAGATGAGAAGGCTGAAAGTAGTCATTAGCCAGAGTCAGCAAATGACAGCCCGCTGTAACCGCCCGATAAGCTACAACCAGTCAATTCACCGTGTTAGTATGGGTTATACAGTCAAAGAAGTCGGAGAAGGCAATTAGGGGTTCATTTTCATGCTGGGTTTTTGAGCTGGGTGTCCAGGGAGTCCAACCAACTAAGCAGAGCTCGTTGCTGGGAGAACTCCCGGAGCCAGCGCCGTGAATTTGAGTATATGTGCATGACTTAAACTACATCAGAAATTGATTATGGAGCATGAAGGAGGTCAAATATGAAGTGCGCTGGATATGTGCAGCGCAAAGGATTGCGATGTCTTCAGATATGTTGGTTACTGTTGGTCGAGTTCATCGCACCGAAGCTCGCGACGTCCAAAATCGTAATATCAAACGTTCGCAGCGTCCAGTGATCACGACGCCCAGTTGAATGGCATGGTTGTCGAAGCTTTGGACGACATGAACGCCGGATGTTGTGATTTTTGGATGTCGCGATTTTGGATGCTACGAGCCTGGATGCTGTGAATTTCCCCTGTCCATGGACATTGGACGTTTTGGGGCGTAGTTAACGCTGGATGCTACGATTTTGGAAGTTTTGACCATTGGACGTTACGAACGCTGGATGCTTTAATACGCACGCCTTTTTTCCTCCTGGGCATTTGGCGCAAATGTTCACAGCTTTTCTTCACTGATAGATTCTAAAAAAAATGGCAACATCGGTTGGGCAGATCAATGCAGATTTGTGACTGCATTTCGATCTACGCTATTGTTCAAACCTGTAGAGCCTCGCACCATCTTTGGAAGAACCTGAGAAAACTTGGCAACACCCGCGTCATGTCTGGAGATGGCCCACGTCAGCACAGCCAATGGGGAGGGGAGTCGTTCTCCCTTAAGACCTATTTTTACAAATTTATCTAACACCCCAGATGGCTCCCGGCAGTCAAAAGTCAAATACTTTTAGGTAATTGGAAAATACAGAGCATCCAGCGTCATCGACCAAGTTTGTGTGTGATGCAACAAAAGCAGTGGAATGCCCGTAATCGAACTAATACAAACGATTAGGGCGAGGCCAAGTGTGGGTCAAGTTAATTTGCGGGTGAAACACATGTATGCAACCAAATATGAGCATGAAGGGACAATGACAGACAGGTTATTCCCATGTCGATAATCGAGCCCATGATCGTGCGTCGCAACTCAATGGGCAATGGATTTAAGTATGAGGAGTAGACAATAAACGTAAAATCCTGGGTCCGCTCTGCACGAGAGTCATCTACCAAAAACAGTTCGTAATATCCGCCAAGTCTTCTGACAATTGTTAAGTTTTGCTATCATTATTTGCTGTGCTGCCGCATTGCCAACATATATTGGTGGGGATGGCAATTGTCTCTAAACGCACAGTAAACCACTATGTGCCCTCAAAACACGGAAGTTGGGCAACAAAAATCATCCCAGGGGAAACAGCGTCATTCGTTTTTTCTCCGGGGACAACCCAACGTGCTCTTATTTAATAAGCGTGCATTCAACACAGATTAGCACATAGCGAATTTGATACCAGATGAACGAACTTGGTGCCAGAACTCTTGATGTCAGAAATGTGTCACTTCTGCATCGTCACCACTACCAAACACGCGTCTCATGTCGATTTGAAGCAGCAGAAACGCCACTTGGGCATCAACCACCCTGCTTCATCTGATAAAGTCACAAACATCACCCAGTCCAGCCACGAGCAAACTCGCCGGTTCCTTTTTCTGTGTTATTTATTTGGCATGTCAACAGGAATGGTACAGCTGCGAGCAGTCTGTTGAGCCGTCCCCGCGGCGACAATGGGAGACATGAATCACAACGTGCACGCCGCTCGGCCGCGCGGTCGGGGCGGCGACGGCAGCGCCCCTGGCGGCGGCGGCTGACGCTCAGCTGCGGAGAAACAGGCACGGCAGTCGTCCATTGAACAGGACTGGTTCGGAGACAAGCAATGCAGGGTTCACATCGTTAGCGACAGTCGCGGAGAAGCGCTTGGACCTGGACAGTGTAGCAATACGAGACTGTGCAACTGGCGCCCCACCTGTTCACACCCGACTTCGCAAGCACGCATGCACGCACGCCGACGCACGCAGCGGGGCGTCCGGAGCCCGACCGGACGCGGCGGCGACGGGGCAGCGGAGAGCGCTCCAGGCCGCGCCGACGTCACGCCGCGGCCGCCACGCACGTCAGCATTCACACGGGGAAGCAGACGGATTCTAGCGCCGTCATCACATCGGCGCCCCACCGGCGCGCCTCAGATCCCGTCCCGTCTCAGGCGCCCGAGCTGGCTAGCTGGCCGCCACCTGGCGGCGCCGGCCGCTGCAGGTGCGCTCCACCCGTCGCCGGCCGTCGGCGAAGGCACACGGGCGCCGGGTGAGTCAGCGCACGCGGTCGGCGCGCTGATATGACGCTGGCCGGTCCGGGCGCCTGTAGACCGATGTCCCGCGGCCGGCAGGTGGGGTCGGCGGTCATCAGTCGTTCAGCGTTTTACTGGGCGGCAGTGTCGAACGCTGGTCCTCGATGCGCTCCGACTGCAGGCGCAGGATCAGGGAGAAGAAGTCCTCGTCGGGCACGGTGGGCGCCGACGGCGGGTGCGGCACGGCCAGCTCTGGCAGCACCGAGCGCTGGTCGTCCAGCCGGGAGCCCTGCAGCACGGAGCGCCGGTCAGTACGCCGCTGCCGCCGCCCACACAGAGCCATCCGCCTCCACCCGCGCTGTCACGTGGCGCACCGCCATATGCTCCAGCTCACTGGTTCGCCACAGCCGAAAACATGCTGACGGCTGAGCCGGTAGTTGTGAGCTTGCCGTAGGTAGTAGTAGTGTAGGTTGTGTGTAGTAGTAGTAGCAGGTAAGGTAGTTGTGAGCCGCATATGGCGCAGCAGTACGTCGCTAGTATATTTGCTTGGTCGTGATTTAACAGAGCTATGGTTATTCACATCCGGCTGGCACGACTCTCGACGACAGCAAAAGGTAAGCAGAAGCTACGCTACGCCGCACATATCACGCAGGCCCAGCCAGTCCACTTCACGCAACTCGTAAACGCGGCGCGCCTCCCACACGGCGGCTCCAGATCCCGACCCGGCCGCCCCGCCACCGCGGCGTCAGCGCTCACCTGACACCGGATCAGCATGTCGAAGAACTGGTCGTCGGGGAGGCCGTCGGCGTCCGAGGCGACGCTCAGCCGCTGGATGAAGTCCTTGCTGCCGCTGAAGCCGGGCAGCTCCAGCTCGCCGGCCGGCAAGTCCGCCCGCTGCTCGTCCATTCGGCGCGACTGCATGCCTGCCCAGCGCAACACAGGGCGTTGTCAGAGCGGCCTGGCCGTCGCCGCAGACCGCCGAACGAGCGAATGCACGCGCCGGCCCGTTCAGACGCGCTTCGTGTCGGGCGATGTCGGTCCGTCACTGCCAGCTGACATCAGTCTTTGCTTTTTCGAAACAGATCTTTCGCCGGACGCGTCGGAAAAAAGTCGTCACCCTTGGTGTGCTGCTGCAAACTCGGGCATGGTCAGTAATGTGCACTAGTATTTACTGCTTGTCTAATCCACGGCGCCATTCTAAACGTAACCTACTGCGAAACATACGCAGAAACATACCACCGGACCTCTGGTCGGGTGATATGCTTCTGTGGTACCTTCAGAACATTAAAATCGAGAGATTACAGAGCACAATGTTTGCGTGCACTTGCATGCCAAATCTTAAAAACAGAGTCAACCACGTATCGATTTAAACGAGACCCCTGCAAGTGAAGCGTGAAGCGAAGTCGCAAGTTTGCACCGGCAGCGGCGGGTATTCAGGCACGCCGCTGGACACTCGGCGGCCGCGGGCGGGGCTAGCCAGTACAAAAACCCAATACAGCCCAGACAAGAGCATGTAATGGCGCCAGTGGGATTGCAAACATCAGGTACGCATTGCTTCAGCAAATATGCCGAGGGCATTCGGTTTCATGTACCTCACAGTTCAACAAAACCAGATAAACAAGTATTGACGCGACAAGTGTCGAAATTACGTCTAAATATTGAGATTGTTGCTAAACATGTGAGCATTGATCATCCCGTAATACTTCGCAATGCCGGATGCTGTGGAAACCATGCTGGCAACATGTCATGTAACATTAATCATTGCATGCGACGTTCGTCCATCTGTTGTGCACACGTGCGGTCAAGGCTTGTTGCCAGTGCCAGTTAATCACGTGAAATTTGTTGTGTGGGTAGACCAGAAGGGGCACATTTTTATTAGTCTGGACCAGACCCGACCGGACGGGAGCCGTCGCCGCGCACGGAGAAGCCCCGCTGGATTTCTATGAGAAACACAGATTCGCAAACTGCCAAAATCACCGAAACACTAGAAGAAAACCAATCCATAGCTCGGCTAGGAAGGCGGTCAACAAGATGGACACATCTCGACTCGAATAAAAAGTGTGTCAACAAGATGGACACATCTCGACTCGAATAAAAAGTGTAATCGATAAAGCAAAAGCGTGAATCGACGTACACGGCCGCGCAAGTGCCCTCGTGCACAAACGACGAATTCGACGGTTGCAGAGCGTTTTTCAGGATTGATGTCAGAGTTCGGAGGTCCCAGCCGATCACAGCGTGAAAACAATGACACTGTGTAGGCATATGTACCGTCTACAAACCACCTAGCCAGCCGAATGCCACCAGACGTCTCCGCGGCGATGACCGAATCAACTGAAAATAGCAATCGACTGAAAAGCGACCCATGCCGCATCTTTAAAGACAATCTTAAATGCAACATGCTGGCGCCCAAACCCAGCACGTCGGGGGCCATAGCACTGACACAAACGTAAACCGAAGTTCGCGGTGCTTAACGTCCACCTCAAAACATCCGCCGCTGCAAATTTTCCCGTTTTCATCGGCGCAAAATGCTGCCCACTCTCGCCATCCCCCCGCCGACCGAGCCCTGGCCGTGAAGCCACGAGTTTGCGCCGGTAGTCCTCCGCGTGGCGGACATTCAGACATGCCGCTGAGTATTCGGCGGCCAAGGTCGTGGCTAAACGCGGAGGGAACTTCACGCAGCTGAGACAGGAGCCTGCCGTGTCCGCCCATTCCGTCCTGGCGCGCAGCTGGTCACGCGCTGGTCCACGCATCGACCAATTCTCTCACGTATTGTGTGCGTCACGTATCATCACGGAGGAAAGTTGGACAGACAGCCCGGGCCGTAGCGACGCCAGGCCAGGATAACGCGACTGAGACATGAGCGAGCCATTGTATTAAAGTATAATTCCCTTACATTTCGTGTGAAGTATCCGCAACAGTTTGAGGGGAACCGCCAAACTTGACGCGCAGCAATGGGCATGGCGCCTTCAGGACACATGTCATCATGGCAACATTTAGAGCTACCTTACGCTATTGCCTATGTGGGCTTCAGTCTGCATCCAGTGAGCGGAAGGTAATTTGCGAGGCATCACCTGCGTTATGTGTTTAGTTAGCCACGATCGCTCGCGCGTACAATTGTAATCAGTTTAGATAGAATCCAATCAATGGGACGCCGCCGCCGCGTGCAAACGTCGCAAAACAAGGCGGCGGCCAGGTTTGTGCGCTACTGTACGTGCCATAGCGGACTTCCGAAATTACGAGCAAGGCGACACAATAGTGCACAGCAGGGTGAGCTCTGAGCGCAAATAACAGTCCCAGAACACAAACAACAGTCTTACGGGGTGATTGAGACGAGCTACTATTAACAAGGATGAATGATTGTTCCGACCGTCCGTTGTGTGAGTGCCTGCGCAACGTTCCGGCCAGTTAGTTCTGCGGCCGCCGTCAGGAGCTACTGGGTCCTGAGACGGACCGGACAGTGCCCAGCTTCCAGACCTGTGCGCGTCACATTTCCAGCTTTCTCACTTGGCGTTGCTAGGATCCGAACTGGGGTCTTCAGATCGCGGGCCCGACGCCCCACCACTGAGCTCGCCGGCAATGACGAAGTGGTCGTCTTAGTAGTGGATTGGTGTTCAGTTAGTCAACTGGTAGTCGAAGACCACAAGTCCGGGAAGGAGCTGGTAGTGGTCCATCCCGTGAAGCTCCATGGTGGTGTTTGCATCGTACGCGTAATCAGAAGACCCCGGTTTGGATCTTAGGAATGCCAAGGAAGGAACCTCGGGTTGTGACACGCAAATGGCTCCAAGATAAACACCATCTAGTCATCCTCAGGATTCAGTGAGACTAAAGACTGCATGAGAAATAACTGGACGGAACGTTGCGGAGCTACTGACACCCTAGACTGGGGCGATAGTGCTAACAATTACTCCATCGGAGTACAGATGAGGTATACAAAATCCAAATAAAGTGTCAAGCTCATTAAAGCGTAAAGCTGTAAGTTCAGAACATGAAGGACTCGACAGCTAAGCCATGCCTCAAAACAAACTGTGCAACACACGATGCCCGGCCCTTACCAGAAATAATGGACGCGAGGCTATACAAGGAAAATGTTTCCCGCGGTGCCAATTTCAGTTCCGTGTACTGCGTAAAACGTAATTTATGCTTATAACCTACACAGACCATTTGCTGGCTGCCGCAACTTCCGATGCTCGCCGGAGTATGGACATGACGGTTGGGTTTCGGCCGCAAGTGATGACCTACATTGCCAAATACCTCTCTTCCTGACACTTTGTTACGGGGCCGGAGCAATGGCTCGAGATCGGGCGAGGTCGTAACATCTGGTGAAACGCTGCCACCAGACTGGAATGACCGCCATGTCCAGGAGATGAATGTTAGGCACGTGGAAATTTTCGCCTGAAAGGTGGACGCCGAGCCCAGCCACTTCACGCAGTGAACACAACCTGCCAGTCCGCTACCCAATGACCTGTCGGATGGCCGTCCAGTTCACGCAGTAACGGCACATTATTCATTTGTTTCCATTCAGTACTCTGAGCTGCCACGTACAAATACAGCGTACCACATTATGATCTCCCGCTGCGCCGCTCTCCGCGGGGTACAGGACAGCGGGGAAGAAGCTGGATGGTCTATAGCGTGCCTGGCGCGCCGGGAACCTAACAGTCAGGCGCCGGCCAGCTGATCCAGCGCCCCGCCCCTCTTCGCCAGTGACCCAGCATCAGAGTACCGGCAGCTGACCTGCAATCAGGTCGATCAGGTCATCCTTGACCGGGTCGGGCGTGGAGCCGCTGGACGAGCCGCCGTTGGCGCCACCGCCGACGGTCAGCGAGCAGCGCTGGTCGTCCATGCGCTTCGACTGGAAGCGGGTCAGCTGCTCGAAAAAGTCGTCGCCGTCCATGTACGACTCGTCGTTGGATGTCTGCAGGCCGGGCGAGAGGGTTACGCAGGGCGCCACGTTTCGTGGGGGCAGGGTCATCCCGAGCACGGGGTCAGACGTGCCGCGGGAGCCGGTCACCGCCGACCACGAGATCAGGCGAGGCCTCGCGCCCCGCGGGGCAGCACCAGGTCATCGCCGAACCGCGGGGACGGCACAAACAGGGCATGACGAGGCTGGCATTGTCGCCAAGCCTCCCCGCCCCCACTCCCCCCCCCCCCCCTCGTCCACCTCGGCGGGGCTCAGGCCGAGCGGGCGGCGCAGTCGCCGAGAGTGGGGAACAGGCTCACCCGACACCGCAGTCGGGGGCCGCGCCGGCTCATTACGACCGACACAACAGGTCATTACCGATGTTCATTAGCCGGCCGCGCGGCCCACGCCGGTTTGCGCGCGACGCGGGGGGCGCCGCCGAACGCCGTCCCGCCTCCCGCGCGCCGGCCGCGGCCGCATCTCATTACTATTGACGGCCGAATGCGATTGCCATGGCAACGGCACCCACCTGGCTGGAGTTGAGCTGCTTGTCGGCGTCCCAGTCGCCCTGCAGCGCGCGCTTGGCGTCGGGCGTCATCTGTGCACACAGGCGGCTAGCAGCGGCGGCGGTGGCGGCCGCACAGCGAGCCAAGCAGCCGGCGGAGCAAGCGCTACACACGACACCGGCCCCGGCCGGCACCGTCGCCGGCCGACGGCCAGTGCACGCGTCGGCGGCGGCGCAGCTGCCCGCGGTCATGCTCGCAAATGTTCACATTACAAAGCGACGCTGTCAACCGATCATACCACAGAGACAACAGTTGCACGACGGCACCGCGGCGGCGGCGCTCGAGCGCGCCGGCCCGCCGCCGCCCGAGCCGCGTCCGTCAGCCACGGCCGCCGCGTGCGGCCGGCGGGCCCGACGGGCCCGGCAGCGGCGGTGGCGGCGCACTGGCGCTGCCGGCGTTGGCTCGCTGGCCGCGCGAACCGGCAGAGCAGCCGCCGCGGGGTGTCGCCGCAAGAGGCTGCGCTGCTGGCCCTCTGCGGTCGAGGCCCAGCAGCGCCGCCTCGCCGACCACCGGCCGAGCAATTATACCGCATGCTTACGGGACGCGTACACACTGCACATCTGCATCAACATCCTGCAGGTGTAGCTGAATGGTGCAGCGTTTGCAAGCGTGCCGATCATGCTGTATGATACAACACACAATGGCTTGCCGAACTTGCCTGATGGCTACGCGACCTTGCTGCTTCGTTGCTGTTCCCTCGCGTTCAGGTGGTCCGTGACGCACCCTCACCTACCTTCTGCAGGCATGCATTCCAGCGGAAACTGACTCGTGCAGGTCGGACCACATTGTCCACAATGAAGGCCAGACTGTGGCAGCTGTAATAGCCCTCCATCTACGCTGTCCCTCGACCCGCCTTTCCAACAGGTCCATGCTATCCAGTGATGAGCTGAGCAGAGCCACGCAGTCCACGCCGGGCTCACCTTGAGCAGGTCCATGTTGTCCATGCTGGGCCGGCGCGTCCGGTGCGCCGGCTGCAGCGCCGCGTCCGACAGCTCGGCGGCGTCGGCGGCCGGCCGGCCCATGCTGCGGCGCAGCTCCGACAGGTTCATCCGCGCCGTCTCCAGGCCGGTCATGTCGCCGATCTGCCGGCGCCGGCCGCAGTGGCACCGTCAGGGCGCGAGGAAGCCGCGCACGGCCGCCGGCCGGCGCCAGCAATGAAGCTCGCACAGGCCGACACTCGGAGCGCCGTCACGGCAATCCACGGCGCAATCGCAGCAGCAATCCTTGCCGTGCGATTTGTGGAAGCGTGCAGCTGATCATTAGTCAGCGTTGGTGGACGCCGGGACCGGCGGGGGTTCCCTGAGCCGGAGACTGAGCCAGAGCTAATCCAAAGCGCAAGCTAGTCAATGGCGCTCAATAAACGGAATGTCCAATGGAGTGGGCGTTAGAACTGCGCACGACAGCATCGGCAGCCAGCCGGCAGCAACAGCTATAGCAGTATGCTGCAGCAAGACTGCACGCAAATGGACTTGAGACGGCGGCGACCACGCTCCGCTCTTAACTTCAGGCGTTGAGGCCGGCCATGCGGCAACATTATCTGTGTCGGCAATGACAAAATGTGATACTGGCTCTACGGACGCCACAGAATAACATCACACATGCCTTATTTCCTAGTCACGACCACAAGCAGCAAGCGCCACACAATACCAGGTCTATGGAACGCTTCAAAGCGTCGACGTACTGCAACCATGCAAGATGACGAGCGTCTGAGAATAGCCCACTTATTGTGAATTTACTCGATTATGAGCAACACAATACAATACAATTTCATAGCCGTAGTTCTTTCAAGTGCTTGAAATCCCGTTTTCCTGAATCCCAAATCCCGAATATTGCAGCGATTCGAGAACAGCAGTCTCGTATCTGGGTGTGGCCCGGCGAAGCCACTGGAGTATGCGACTAATCACGGAGCTGACAAATGCCGCTGACCGCGGCGAAGTCCGTCCTTTCATACACTTCACGGCGCACTTCGATCCACGCTGTAACTGGCAAAGACGGCGAGCACAGCTGTTGTGCTCGCCCGTCCGATCCCGCCGAGGCACGGCGCGACACTACACGCAGCCGCGCGCTCTCCCAACCGTCGCACCGACTCCACGTCCCGCCGCAGCTAATGCAACAGGACGAGTGGCACAGAGCATTAGCAAGCGCGCGTCTCCACCGCCGCCACACGGATACACGAGCCGCCACTGTTGTCGGGCCCACAAACGGTTCTCGGGTGTCCGCCTCTGGTTAGGACTCACGTTACACGGCGGATCACATGCAAGATGTCGGGACGACCCGGTGAGACGCCACCCCGTCCCGTCCAGAGACCGCACTGACCGTCGGCCGGCGGTGTACGCAGCGGCCCCCGGCCCGCGGCAGCTCGTGCACACCTGGGCGCTCGTGCACACCTGAGACCAGTCGATGGGCGGTCCGAAAGAAGCGCCACGACGGCGCCCGAGCCACCCCCTAGCGGCCTCACCGCGATGCACTTAGCGCGCGGCGCATCGGCGCCCGACGGCGAGAGATGGCCGGACGGCGCCGACCGAAGCGCGGCCCACCGTCCCTCGCGGCGCCGCCGACAGCGCGCCGCAGTCGTCGCGGCACGCCCGACCGGCCGGACCGGGCCACCATCGACCGCGCCGACGGGACTCTGCGTCCGATGCACGGGCCGTCGCAGCCGGAGGCCGTAACTCAGGCAGGCGCTGATCGGCACGGCGCGCCTCACGGGCGTCGGCCGGCCTGCCGCGATTGCGGCGCATATGGTGCGCCGGCCGCCGGCCCGGCCGTTCCCCACACGTCAGCGTCTCCCGGCAGTCGATCAACTAGGCATGCGGGACGGGACTGGCAACGCACGATAACAGGCTGCTCGCCGCCCGGCGGCGCCCGGCCGGGCGCGCGCTCCCAGGCGTCCGAGGCCGGCGCCGGCCGCGCCCTCAGCCGACGTCACCTGTCTACCCGACCCACCTCCTGCGAGATGTGCAGGTGCCGCTGCGCGTAGTACAGCGCCTTGTCGTTGTTTCCGACGGCCGTGTGGGCGTTGCCGAGGCTCCAGCACGCGCGGCCTGCAGGGGACGGACGGTCATCGCGAGCGCCGATCGGCCGCGTCCACGACACGCAACCAGCTGGGAGGGCGCCAGGGCCCCGGCGCAGCACCAGGCGGGATGGCACCGGCGGAGCGACACGCAGACACACGGGACGACGACGTTGGCCGCTCGCCACCGACCCAGGAGTATCGGAGGCTGCGCCACGCGAACCAACACTGCAGCTCGGAACACGCACACTCGAGTCACCCGCCGACGCCAGCAGCGCGCTGCCGCCGGGCGGGCATTCGATGCAGCGTCACGCAACCGACCAGGTAGGCACTCGAACACGCGGGTAGCACGATAAGATGCACACAAATTAGCTACAAAACATTCCACAGCTCATAAAAAGGGCAATCATTTAGCAAAGGCAAACACCGTCCCTTCACCACTTCCCACCACTACGCCAAGCCGGACGACCGACCCTGGATTCCGGCGGCGGCGGCGGCGGGGGCGGCGGCGGATCTCACCTTCTCCCACCGTGTCGCAGAGTTCCTGCGCGATTCGCATGTGGCGCATGTGGTACTCGATGGCGGTGGCGTAATCCCAGAGCAGGGTGTACGTATTGCCCAGGCTGTAGCAGGCCTGCGCTTCCATGGCGCGGTCGCCCAGGTCCTGCGCCAGCACCAGAGTGCGCCTGCGGCGGGCGGCCCAGTCAGCAGCGCGTCACGCTCCGCTCCCTCAGCCCAGCCACGCATGGTTCGGCAGCAGCCGGGCCGACCTGCCATCGACGAGCGGTGCCGGGGCCGTGTGGTGGGTCAGCGCTCTTGGCTATCGGCGCTGGTACACCACTGAGAGCGAACACTCGACACTGAGGCAGAGCGGACGGCGAACACGTCATCAGGTGAAGGCGAACGTTAAGCAACCACTCTCCACTCCACTCTCCACTCTCCAATCCTCCACTCTGGAAGCACCTAGGAGTATTGCCGGAATGTCTGAAGTAACCGTCGGCTTAAATTTACGGTCGACTTTGCGCCATCCCAGCCAGAGGCGGTACTCCCGTTTACACCAGTTACTTTACGGTATTGATACGCCGGAGCTGGCAACGTTTGATGGTACCGATGGTCCCCGCCCACACGAAAGAGCGCACCAGCATTGCAACTCCCGCTGCACCTCCACCGCTGCCATTAACGGTTCCGCCACCAGCACTGAGACTATCGCCGCCTCACAAACAACAATCATAGGTTGCCAGCTGCATGGGAGTTTGGCATTATTCTAAAACGCAAACTGAAAGGATACTGTGATAACATAGGCTACGTGTCTTACAGTTACGGTACCAGACTGTTCCGTCGTAAGTTCAAACCAGTTGGTGCTAACATCACATCAACTGCGCACATTTCTTAAGCATAAAGTACCGCTACGTACATAAAGACAGCTCGGTGAAATCAAGAGCAAAACACATTTGTCTGCACCAGCATGGACATGGCGGCCTGGTGGGTCCTACAGCACCCACCGAGCTGTCATGCCCTCAAAGATTACATGCTCACCGCCTACTGGTGAGCTTGCTTTTCGAAGTAGAGCAGTAAGCTGTCAGCAATGAACCTCGCGTCGCGCACCTCAAGTCTCGTAGCTAGATGTGCAACCATTCTCAGCCCGCATGGTTTTAGTGCATTTTGTTTTTTCGAGCCGTTGTGCCGACTGAGCAGACGCAGAGCAGACGTTCAAATGATTTGACCAGAAAATGACCGTTCGCAACCCATTACGCAAGTAACTGCCCCGAATATGCCCTACTTAACGACCTACTCTACGGTAACGCTTGCCAGAGTACAGACCTGGGTTGCTGAACAGCAGACGCTATAAATGCTGTCCACACGACAGAGCACGTACGCACAGAAACACGCCCGTCGTTATGGAATTCAATTCTCCTCCATTTAGACGGTGTCCCGAGCTATTTGCGCGCCGCAAGCGTCCATCACTGCAAGTCCGGCCCAGTGGTGGACTACCGCCAGACGCCGCCGAGCCAGCGGCGGCCGTCTCCGCCAACACCGCCGGACCGCCGCCAGACGCCGCCGGGCCAGCGGCGGCCGTCTCCGCCAACACCGCCGCCGATAAGAGCGCGCCTGATTGAGCCAGCGTCACACGTCGGTTTGGCTCAGCAGCACGCCTAATGGCCACGTTTTTCGCGCGGGCGGCTGGCTCGGGCAGCACATCACGGACCGGAAAGGACGGCGCCGGCGCGCTCTCGGCGCCGGGAAGGTACCGCACACCGCGGCCGCCGACCGGCTGGCGGTTGACGGCCGTCACCTCGCGATCGGGCGCCGTGTCGGCCGTCCGACGCCGCACACCAGGCGCCCGGCGCGGCCGGCTTACTTGTAGTGCTCGGCGGCCGTCTCGAACTGTCCCAGGAAGACGTGAGCGTTGCCCAGGTTGCTGTGGGCGCGACGCTCCGCCGCCTTGTCGCCAAACTCCTTGGCGATTTTCAGCCGCTGCCAAAGCGGGCAGGTTGTAAGACTCTAGCGGCGTGGCACGCCACATCACACAACAAATCATGTACGCAGTAAAGCTTTCTCGTGAATGACCAAGTGAAGGAAAATGGCGTCGCACTAGCTCTAGAAAAACCTTAAAACGCCTTACGTAGGGCACACAACCAAATACGAAGGCTTCCGCACGATATCGACCTTATCCCACCGTAACACGCAAAGTTCTTGTCACTTCAAGGCGGGTGTTCTTCACTCGAGGGGAATCAGGCCGACGTCGCAGGTAAAACATGCCCCGAGGCGTCGTTTACGCCACGGGGAACTGCAACTGGCGTGCCGCAGGTGCGCTCGGCGGCGCCGGCGCCGTGGCTCACCTGTTGGTGGTAGCTAATGGCCAGCGTGAAGTTGCCCAGCAGGTAGTGGGTGTTGCCGAGGTTTCCGCACGCGCGGCCCTGCGCGGACCGGTCACCCAGCTCCACCATCAGCTGCAGGTTCTCGCTGGCGGCAGCCAATCAGCGACACGTTAGCCCATGCACACCAGTCAGCGGGCCTGCACCAATGAGAGACTGGTTCGCTCCCTCCGCGGAAAGGTCGGGTCATTAGGTGGGCGCGGAGGCGGAGCGGGCGGCGGCGGCCCTTTCCCCCGCAGCGTGCCGCGGACGTCCGAGTCGGCGCCCAATGTCACCGTAATGGTGGCCTGATGGGGTCGCCCTGTAACGCTGGCCACTCGCCAGCCGGCGGCCAGAGCAGGCCAGCCAGCGCGGCGTGGCGCTGTGATCACCCTTACTGGGAGCAAAACGTCGCCAACATGAAACGCTGGGGAACCGATTTACAACGGAACTGCAGCTAGAACCGGCATTAAGCCTCGAGAGGGCTGGATTTATAACGGACCACCATGGACTATAACAGTCACGAAGGCATCATTAATCAGGAGTCGCTTCCACAGACACTTGCCGCGTGAAAGGCTATTCTTGGGAAGAGGGTTTACGTAAGAATACTTCAAATCATGTTAGTGTTCTTAGGTCTGCAACAAATGAGTCTCTCACTCTCCAGGGTCTTCAATAGCATCATGAAACATTACGCCAAAGAGCCTAAAACATCACACTTACCGCTTTAAAGCCCTTACAATACCGTTAACGTTTCACACACGCGCCCTTTGTGGAACCGGCTGTCATACACTCCGTCAGCGCAGTCCGAGGAATATCAATTATCGATCCGCGTATGCTCGGTACCAATTCACATCCTGGAAAACGATTCGTGCGACACATAACACCGCTAGTTTTCTTAGAGACCCTACGGACACACAAGCCCTCCGACTTCTCTGGTGAAGCCATCAGAGTGTCTTACGCGGCACCGCTGCCGCGAGCGGAGCTTACTTGTAGTACTCGACCGCCTTCTGCAGGCACTCCTTGACGGCGTCCGGGAAGTGGCCCGGATCCTGGTTGCCCGAGCGACCCAAGTGCTTGCCCTTCGAGTGGTAGACGTTGGCCAGGTTGTACAGGGCCCGACCTTCGCCCACCTGAGGGCGACGGCGCTGCACGTGACACCGGCCAGACGCAGGCGCCGTCGGCGGCTCTCCTGATGAGCCGTGGCGTTAAGAGGGAAGGGGAGGGAGGGGGAGGGGAGGCAGCCAGCCTTGCCGTCTCTCCCAGCCCTGCCGGACCGACCGGGTCTAGCCACCGGCGCACCGACCATGCCGGGTTCAGCGGTCTCTCTACCGCACCAACACGAGTCGTACCTGCTGCGCTCCAGACCACTCGCATTCCAGCGGTCGCTAGAGAACCCCACACACCGCACGTTCCCAGAAGTTGCGCTGGTCAGCTTCCGCGCGCCGCTGCCTGATCGCCCCCGCGGTCGACCCGGTGACTTCGACCGCGTACTGCACGGATGCGGGCGGGGTGGGGCCGGGGGTCGGGGACCGGGGCGAGGAGGCGCCCAGCTCACCTTGTCACCCAGCTCCCGCGACACGCTGAGGTGGCGCTTGCAGCAGAGCAGACTCTCGTCGTAGCGGCCCAGCACCTTCATGGTGTTGCCGAGGTTGCCGCTGGCCTTGGCCTCGCCCATCTTGTCCTGCATGGTCCTGCGGCAGCCGAGCGCCGGCTCAGCGCTGCGCGGCGGCGCCCCCGCCCGCGGCCGCGCGGCCACCCGCACTGAGACCGCCGCCGCCACCGCGTACGCCGCCGCCCGCGGCAGCCTATTCCATCACACGACAGCTCCTAAACCGACGCTGGCAGCCCCGCACGGGCGCCTGTGAAAGGTCAGCTCGCGCCTCCGGACGGGAGCGGATCGCCACCCGCCGCTGGGCAGCCGCCGCCGCCGCCGAGGAGTCACGAAACACGCCGAGGCGCTGGCTCGACGCACTCGCGACCGCCTCATCTCAGTCCGTCCGTCACATTTGACGCACTGTCGTCACACATCTGGATCATATCTGTTGCTGTGGCGCGGGGCCTACCGCGGCTCATTTACTACACACTTCCATGACACACTCTTTGAAAACGTTGTGTGCTAACAGTGTACCTGGAAACATTTAGCCCAGCATTTTCTGACTTCCCACATCCAGACTTGCAAATAATCCGGCAAAACGGTAAGCTCTGATGGTTTGTCAATCACCTACAAGCAGCTCGCAATAATGCTTATGTCAAGGGCATACCAAACATATGGAGAGACTTGGAGTATCAGCCATTTTCATCAATGCATTTCAAAATAAAATGCATTTTTCTCCTCGCAATGGGCAACTTTATCCATACTGATCCTTTAATTTAGGCGTTCGGTAAATATTTGTCCGAATCATGCAGCATGACCGCCAATATTGACAAAACGTGCGCACCACCATTGCAGTGGCACTGGCTTACTTTCAATGCCGTGCCTCCTGATCCATTGTAGAAAAATGAGAAATTATGCATTCCGTCCCGCCCACTTCATAAGCAAAACAACGTTTCAGAAAATGACCCGACATTTGGCTGTGAGAAAACTCACTGAAATGATCCTAATGCCAAGCTTTGTTGCTAGAAATGCCACACGCGTATCGAAGGGAACGGGAAAGGCGTTGAAGGCAAAACATAGCCCCGAAGTTGACATGCTCAATCATTCATAACGAGTACGCAGTCGGTGGTTCATACTGATGACGTAATGATGCCACCATGATTTCCGCAACTGCCATGCCGATCAGTTTCAATGTCGCCTGTGCACTGCATTGTGCAGGAGCCACGCCACGTCACGACGTGAAAGGGCGACGTGGTTGCCGGACAAAAGCACACGGTCAGCGTCAACGCAACAATACCTGGCATTGACAAACGACGGGGCACTAATCCACCCGGCTCCCTGCCGCGGCGCCGGTCGGTGCGGCCCGCTCCAGCCCCGCCGCGTCGTCCGCCGCCGGCTTAGCGCCGGCCGTTTAGCAGCGACGTCCGGGCATCAACTAGCCACCAAGGCCGGCGTGCGACAGCTTGAGCCTGAATCATTCGGTCCTGAGCGCGGCCTCCATTTCACGGCCCATTTGCCTAATGCGGAGCGCTGCACGCGCGGCCCGGACCGCGGCAGCCGGAGGCGGCCAGCTGTTGACACCACGCCTCGTCGATTGGTCCCTGCGCGGCCGGGCCCGCCCGGAGGGCAGGCGGACCAGGCCGTCCGCCGTCCTGCAGCGAGCAGCCTGCACGCGGCGCCGCGCCGCGTCGCTGCGGAGAGCCAAGGTCCAACTAGCCGTCCGAGAGCGAGGGCCGACTTATGGCCCGGCCCGGATGTGCCGCGAGATTGTCCAAAAGGATACCGACTAATTACGACGCAGTCAAGCAACCAAACGCGTGGGAGAGAACATAGGCACGATTTACCTCTGCTGTACTGCTGACGCCATTTCGTAGCACAAACGGGCCACTGGAAGACGAAATGTCGTCAGCGCCTGCTGTCGCAGACAAAAGGCACACACGCAAGAGTGCAGCCACGCAGGCATGTGTGCACGCGCCCACGAACCGATCGATGCACTTAAGCCAAGACGAGCCCAATAACCGGCAGAGGACGAAGCCAGGCTTCTCGTTTCGAGGCCAAATCCGAAGCCAAGACAGTGACATGAAGCCAAAGTTGAGGCCGAAGCCGGTGGTCCCGAAGTTTGGAATGCAACGACGTAACCGAAGCAAGTGGCTTCGAATCTTTCAAACGTGAAGGCGGATCCCACGCCAGTGGCCACAAACTTTGCTCTCGCGAAGCCGAGGACGTAGCCAGTTCCTTCGCACATAAGAAACGCAGAGCGAGAGCTAAACCACTACCAACTGCGAGACCGACGTAGAACGCGAAGCTAGCGTACAAACCTCTTTTGCGCAGCCAAAACCATTTTAGCGTATGCTTAAACTGTACGGGATGTGGACACAGCACGCGGTTTTGCGGTGTGGTTGAGACAAGGTGTCAGCATTGCGGATGGAATATTGGTTTCGGATAATCGCCATCTCCCGTTTGCGAGTACACACTTCGTAGTTCGTCTTCCCACCATTGTCAGACGTTAATGGGCCCCGACAATGACCGGCTGGTTTTGGCTTTCAGCCAAATGCGCGTCACAGCATTCGAGAGCTGTGTGCTATGGTATATTGGTGGCACGCGACAGGCCAGACCGTTTTTGCAAAGCAACGCCACAACTGCAACCAAAATCCACATAAGGAATATTATGCATATCGGTTACTCCTCGTAGAGCAAAACACGTAAGAATGAAGAGACAGATCAGTTGATATTTCGGCATTATGCCTTTAAGGAAACGAGTATCAGTAGCAAGTTGAAAATAGTCTGTCGATTCTACTCGATTCTTCGTCTTTTTATTTGTTGGAAAGAGCGGGCCACAGCTTTTAAACATCACCAACACTCAAGGAAAATCAACAAGGAACAATTATCCGCCATTGCTCGGATGCAGTGCACATATAACTAAACATTAGAACACACGAAAAATACATGCACATGCAAACGAATATAAGTAAACGCGCATCACGTATCACACTTTATTCAAAAGTGCAAACGATTTCTTGGTTAGATATGCACTGCATCGTAGTAACGGCTGGCAATTGCTCCCAGTTCAATCCCCTCGACGTTGGTGACCTCTACAAACTGTATCCGTTTCCAAAAACAAATATGAAAGGCGAGTGGGATCGACAGGCAGTTCTGAATTGACTTCTGATATTCGTTTCGATAAAGGCATGTTGCCGAAATATCAACGCATCTATCTCTCCATCCTCCCGTGTGGAACATATCTCTCCATCCTCCCGTCTCTCCATCATTTTCCGTGTGGAACAAGGCTCTTACCGCCGCCTTACCTAAAAACACCGGACCACTATGACACGTGCCAGCGTCCGTTGTTTCCGCCAGACGTGGCGACCGCCAGGGAGCACGCTATATTCCAAGCCAGGCGTCATGGTACGGTGCCGGTGCATGGAAAGACAGTGCCGGTCATGGCGTCACGGTACGTCGCCGGTGCATGGAAAGACGGTGCCGGTCATGGCATTATGATACGGCGCCGGCGCATGGAAAGACACCATTCGGATAACAGACGTGACCATCTGCGTGGCGTCCCGGGAGCAATCGCTGGTGATGGATTGCTGGGCAATATCTGCACCCAACGCGTGCAATAGATGGTCTGATGTCCTCATCACGCAATGTCACGAACAGGACGCGTCCCACCCATCCGCCACCTCGCGGCTGTACCTCCAGCTGCGTTGTTACCCTCTCACTGCGGTGGGACAAGGCGAGCACAACAGAAACGTCCATATGTCCTCCGGGCGACACAATGGTCCAGTGAAAAGCGAGCCATTAAAGGACGTGAGATCAACACAGACCCGAGTCATCACAGGCCGTGTGCCCCACCGGAAGACGATCCAGCGCGGGTCGTGTCATCGGCCCCCACACGAGCCATCAGACCGTGTGATCCGCCCCAACACGAGCCAGCACTGGCCGTGCGACCCACCGAAACACAATGCCCCACAGCACTTGTCGGCCACTGGCAGGACGGTTGGAGGCGCGCTGTTCGAGCAGCCACCTCCTCCCCCGGAACCGCGGCGCACTCTCACGCGGCCTCCGCGGCGGCCCACTCGGCGCCCCGCTTGTGGCGGTCGACGCCCAGCGTCGGCACAGCCGGCCGTAACCTTTCGACGGCGCCCGGCGGCACGGCGTGCTTACACAAGCGAGCCACTTCCCGGCCGACGCCAGCCGCGTCCGCCGGGCGGCGCACGCCTTCCCCTCCCCTCGGCTGGGGAGCGGGCATCGCCGGCCCACCCGACAGGTGGGCGGGTCGAGGTCGGGAGGGACGGCGCGTGCCACCGCCGCCGGGTCGTGTGTGATCGCCGCTGATATGTCCAGCACGTCCCAAGTAGTTCCCGAGCATTGCCGGCCATGATCGCCATCAGTAACTAACGACCGGATCGCGGTAGCGGCGAGCATTTGAGAATCAGACGAAGTTCGCGAGGTCTGTTAAATACTTTCATTCTTCTCGGCGTTCTGCGGTTTCTACACGAGATAAGCTTCCTCGTACAATTTAAGTCGAGGCACGTTTCCTGGTAGAATTAAAGTTTTGGCCATAGTTTCCCCGTGTCGGCATCCGATCCAAAAGAGGATTTCCTCGGAGACTTAACAGTTCATTTCCGGTGAATTCAGTCTGAAGGAAGTCATCTCCCTCAGTCGCTAAGTTCAGCAGCAATAGAGTTTTTGTTCAAAGAGACCATTCACCCGCCGTGCGGCGGAACCCTTTCCCAGATAAGGCTTTTTCCCATGTACGTTGGGCGAATACTGTTCGCGAATACTCTTTGAGCACACACCGTCGGCCGGGTAACGGCCACCCAGTCCGTTCCGCCCACTGGTTCCGGCCCGCCTCGTGAGCTCTTTTCCCAGGTGCCCGTGGCCGATGTCATTCCGGGCGAGCGAGGCCAACCCGGCGCGAGTTTCGCTGCGAGGCTGCGGGCGCCGCAGCCGGCCGTTCCGGTCGTACGCGTTCAGCTGGGGCGGCGCGGTGCCGGCCGGCGCCGCCGCTGGCCGGGACAGCCATTGATCGTGTCGGCGCCGCTGCTGCCGGCGGCCGGGAGCGGGAGCGACGCCGCCGCCGGGCAAACACCGCTC